CCTGGACTATTGTAACGGAGTCCTGTCCGGGGTTCCCAGCAAAACCCTGAACAGGCTCCAGTACATACAGAACTCAGCTGCCAGGGTTCTCAAACGCACCGAGCCCTGGCAGCACATCACCCCCACTCTCTTCAACCTCCACTGGCTCCCGGTCAAGTCCTGCATCACCGACAAACTCCTCCTCCTAACCTACAAATCCCTCCATGCCCTCTCCCCTCAGTCCCTCACAGATCTCCTCCACCCATACATCCCGTCCCGCACCCTTCGATCCTCAGACTCCGGCCTGCTCTCCATTCCCCATTCACGCCTCCGCACCTTTGGGGACCGTGCCTTCAGTGTCGCTGCCCCCACCCTCTGGAACTCCCTCCCTGCAGAAATCCGCAACGCCCCTTCTCTCAACATGTTCAAATCAACCCTTAAAACTCATCTGTTCAACATCGCCTTCCAACAATAACTCACCCCCCCCCAACTTACACTTCCATTTCTGCCCCTGCCCCCTGTTTTATGTTTATTTTTTAATGTTTTATGTTGTCCTTGTATGTTTCTTTGTAAAGCGACCTTAAGGTTATGAAAGGCGCTATATAAATTCAAGTTATTATTATTATTACTTTGCAGATTCAGATTGATATTATAGAACACAAATCAACTACACCCCTAGATTTTGAATACAGGGTGGTTACTTGTAACTAATTCATGTCCACTCGTATCTACTGCACAAATGGGGACATGAGTCAGTTCTTTATAAAAGAGACAAATAAAACCCTGAGGCTAAACTTTGATCTGTAGAAACAGTGAGCAGCAGCGCAGAAAGAGCAGAGTTCACTCAGCTACTGATCTACCCCCTCCGTCAGGTGTGGTTCCTCTACACCCTTCTCCTCCCCTGTTTTCACCAAACACATCTCTTGTTTTGGCTGGAAACATTAAGTACATCATTTCCTATGTGACTGAAAATATTTCCAAAAAGGAGCTTGGAAATAAAATGCAGTAAAATGCATCATTCACATACAGTAGATGCAGCATTACTATTACTATTATAATTAAACATAATACTGTACATATTATTAAAACACACATGAACTTTTTACTGCACAATAATTTCCTGTGTGGTACTTTCTGACATACTTTGACTCTGATGGACCAATAGTTGCTCCTCAGAGCGTGTACTCCTCAAAGCGCGCACTCCTCAGAGCGTGTGCTCAGCAGTTGTTATCCCACAGCTCTCTTGCTGTAACTGAAGCCTCCTCATGATGATGGATGGAGGGGAGTGAAAATGCTCAGTGTAAGATTTGTAAGATAATCTGCAGCAGAGAGGGTCTCCGAGCTGTGAGGTCACCATATATTGATATGCTTCTGAAGATGTATTCCCAGCTCATGAAGTAATGTCGGCAGTGCTGCTAAAATACATTTACAGTACTTCAGTGTTAAGGTACTTTACTTGAATATTTACTATTGTTGCGCAACTTTATACTTCTACTCGACTACTTCTCAGTCTCAAATAGTACGCTTTTTACATAAAATAAAATGTCAATGGGTAATGTTACTTTGCCGTGTGCAATAATTAATAAATAATATAAATTACTAACTATAATGATGTATTCACTATAAACTACCCAGTAGTATATCAAGTTAAATATTTTTGTTGTCCATATTTTCCAGTTACAGCATTACAATTATTAATTATACCAATGTGTATTATTCCGAAATGGACCTGCATAGTGAGTGCTTTCACTTCTGGTACTTATATACGTATATTTTGATGCTGATACTTTTGTATGATTTTTTTAATGCAGGACTTTTACACTTAACAAATTATTTCTAAATTATAGTTTTGCTACTTTTACTGAGGTACAACACCTCTCTGAATGTCTTTAGAGTTGTCTGTGTGTATTAGAATTGTGTTGACAAAAATGACAGCAGTTTTGATATCACAGAGGGTCGTGATTACTAAGATCCAGAGCTCCCACGCAGATTGTGTGTGTGTGTGTGTGTGTGTGTGTGTGTGTGTGTGTGTGTGTGTGTGTGTGTGTGTGTGCGTGGGAGCCTTTTACAGAACAACTACAATAAAAAGCTCTTTATGTCCGCATCCTACCCAACGACCAATTCTAGCACTAGCAAGTAACACAACAAACTATTATCATGAGAAACAAGTCAAAAAACCTTCGTCATTTAGGGTTCAGGAAGGCTTCACATCCTTTTGTACGAGTTTTGGTTCTACAACAGGAAATGAACCAGAGAGAGAGAGAGAGACTGCAATTTTGAAAGATAAATATCTCAAGGGAAAATAGTTTTTTAATTTGAACTGATCAAAATCGTATCAATCCTCTGCTCTACTCTGAACAGTTCTAAATGTAAATATATAAGTTCATCTTATCAGTGTTGCTAGACATAAATTAACTCCTACAAGATTATACTACTACTACTACAAAAATAAGTAATAATTCAAATAAATGAATAGGAAAATATGCTAGTGTTTTTTTTGAAATTGTCAGAACAGCTAAAGATACATTTGATATATTAATATACTTTCAGATCAGTTTAATTTAGTTCAAAAGTCATATCTTTACAAGCTTTTGTTAAATAAAGTCAATTTGTTTAATGTTAAGTTCACGAAATAAATGCATTTGAATCTAGTCTGTCATTAAAATGTAAATGGGATTTTTGTTGCTTTTTGATATTAGTATGCACTTTGATGCTAGATGTCGCCTTCATAGCTTAGCAGGAACCATTGACCTGTCTCACTACAGGTCTTTAAAACTGTACTGCATTGGCCATATAGGCTGTATATATTTTTTAATAATGTGTTCTCATTTTCTTCTGAGTTCTCAAAAATGATATTCGGCAAATAAAACAAAACTGAAGGTTTTTATTGCCTGAAGATTTGATACCATGGTGACATATTCCGCTCAGCCGTAGATGTAGGAGAGTACAAATCCTTTATAGTCCCCCGCTGTGAGCCTGCCTGTATAAAGGAAGACTAAACAGATGCAGCAGTACACCTAGCAGTACACAGTGTTTGTAGGATGTAGCTTCCTCTCCCACAGGCTACATCCTCCATACGGAGCTTCATTCAAACTAAGCGCTGTCTGCAGCAGCTCGACGTGTTGAAGCCGTGCTCTGTAGGCAGCAGGCGTGGCGGCTATAAAACACTCCCTGCTGCAGCTCACCTCCACTCAGAGCTGAGGTTGGCAGGCATGTTGGGACCGTGCTGCTTCTGTTTTTCATGGCAAGCAGCCTGAAGGTGCGAGAGTGATGCAACAGGAGGGAGAAGCGATGACAGAGAGTGGGTTCATCTGAACAGCTTCAAAACAGAAGTCCCTTTACTGGTAGCATGTGGCTAGTTTCACTTGATTTAGAGTTACAGTTTCTTAGCATTCATTCATGAAGATAGTATTGATGCTTACATCCACTTCAAATGATTGCAATAAACAGTTGATGCCCCTTGAGACACCACTTCCAGTCAAATGTGATCAAACAATGAATCAGAATCACAATATAGACAGGTACAAGATACAACTCGCAGGAGTCATGATATATGTGGAACGCATCATATGTTAAAAATGGTGATTTCACAACAATTTCATTTTCATTTCATTTAATCGTTTATTTGAACAGGGACACTGCACATTAATGAACACTTAAAACAAATAATGCGTCAAGTGTAAATATGCCGGATTTTAGCTTTGAGCTCATTTCCATTCGCAGTCCCTCAAATACAACAAGAGACAATTCTCTGCCAAAGATTGCTCTACGGAGTCAAATAAATACAAAGCTTCTGACAGATCCAAGAAGAGTTTGATATGCAAAAATAGTTTGAGTGAATCAATGCATCATTTTCATATCTGAGCGACGGAAATGCAGCTTTGTCTTCCAGGAATAACCTCCGACAACGATCTATGACGAAATGTATTTCTAATGGACTCATCGTCACAGATTGCAGGAATGTATTGCTTTCTTTGCATGATTTCATTTCCAGGCATAAAACCTGCAAACCAGATAAGTTAACAGATCCTAGAAACTGCTGTTGCAGCGACTCGAAACTTGCATTCATAGTTATTGCTGAATTAATGCAGTAAAATAAAATGGCCACAGGCTATCACTGAACTGCTACTGAGCAGCTTAGAGTGTTAAATGTTTCAAATCTCAATTCTTGCTCTTTTTTTCTTTGCACATTCAAAACGGAAAGTGCTCTAACAGAGTCTAGACCAAGGGCTATGACTTGTAGTTTCCACATCTTTCTAGGGATTACACAATCTTGAATTGTGTTTTGGTTTTTATGTGAAAAGTCTCTCCATGCACAATTGTATTTGCAGAACGTATCATGACTCATAGCAGAGAAAGAGAGAAAAACTCCCTCTGGGGGGGAAGGTGGGATTTGAGCCTTTGCACACCATTTACATGCAGAAAAGAATGACAACACACAACAGGAAAGGAAAACCCCCCAAAGCCGTAATGTGGCCCCTTTAAGCTGGTACTACCATGAATCAGAGGATCCTGAGCGTAGGAGCATTCTCCAAACCAAAACTAACAACCAGCATCAGAAACATCATGTCCTTTCTTGTTCAACAACTCTGACCTTAGACATGTGCAGGGTGGGGAAACTATATCATTATTATAACTGTGGACTAGAAAGAAAATATTTCCATTGCTTCCCCAGCCAGTGACTCTGACTTGTTTACTCTGTTGGTCTAGAAACGAGCAAACTAAGAAGCAACATCCTCCTAAAATCCCCTAAAGTTCTGCAATGATGTGTGTGTGTGTGTCCTCATGTACTTCTAAGTGTGTGAGGACCAGTATGAGTTCCACACTCTGACGGAAGAGGACTCATTTGGAAAGACAAGACATTGTGTCTGGTCTTCTCTTCTTCAAAGAGTTGTTTACTCTTAGAATTAGGGTTAGGGGCTAGGGTATGTCTGACTAGCATACAATATATGTGTCTTTTGTTGGACACTCTTAAGCCTCTTAAAGATGAGAAGTGTACTTCCTGTTTTGATTGAAAGATCATTTGCCTTTTTCACATGTGTACTTCCTTCCTTTGTGCTCCCCCCCCCCTCCCCCCTCAGGTCTTTGATAACTATGCAGTGACAGTGATGATCGGCGGTGAGCCGTACACTCTGGGACTGTTTGACACTGCAGGTAAAACAAATCTGCATGTAGTTTATATATTCAATTTGTGTTAATATGAATACTTAGTACTGAAAGGGAACAGAAACGACAGGAGTAACAATAGAGTGGTGCAGGGATCTCACATTTCTGTCTGCCCACCAAGTTAAAGGTCCCTTGATAAAAGGATATGGGATATTTCCATATGATTTTGAACTGTTGCAGAAAGTAAGATCTGTGGCACACACGCATATATGATACTGCCACATCTTGTTCAGCAGGATCATCTTGACAGTAAATAAACAAACTACATCATTCATGGTCACATGACCTTAAGCCTTAAGCTAGCTAGTCTAATCTTCGGCGTGATGATGTTTTGTATTCTCAATAGGACACTTCTTAGCAACGGCTATTTTTAATACATTGAAGCTTCAGACATTCACCAGTTAGGTATTTATTGACATATTTTTATGACGGAGTACAAAACGTGAAAATGTCATAAGCTTGTGTCTACACCAGACAATACTTCGGGCATGTAACGCATTCCAAAACCCATTGACATCAAGAAGAGGAAGCTCAGAAGTGCTAGGACTCCTGCCTGCACCACTCTCATTGGCAACTGTTGCAGCCCACTCCACCTGTTACATCTTAAACGTTGTGTTTGCTGCCTGCTGTTGATCAGAGTGTATGTGCTTCTCCCTCTGCAGGTCAGGAGGACTACGACAGGCTGCGACCCCTCAGCTACCCTCAGACCGACGTCTTCCTCGTCTGTTTCTCCGTAGTATCGCCTTCCTCTTTTGAGAATGTCAGAGAGAAGGTGAGTTTGTGTAGTAAAGTCAGAGTCAGCATTTGTCAGTTTGGGCTTTTAATTGAAACAAACAAAAGAGGTTGTACTTTTTTCAACAACAAATCTTTAAGAGAAAACAGCAGTTTGTATACGAAGGCCTTTAGGAAGTGTTTAGTAAATGTGAAATGACTAATAATCTGGTCATAAACTTCCAGAAAAGCTGTTAACGTTCCCTGACTGGGGATGCAAATTAAGAACAAAAAAACACAAACATTGGAATTCCTTTTTGAAATGTTAACACCATATCAGTTTAATTCTGAGAAGACAAATGTAACCATGACATTGAGAATGAGGTGTTATTCAAGACTCCCAGATGAAATGCCTCATGCTTCTCTCTCCGTGTCTCTTCACAGTGGGTGCCGGAGATCTCCCACCACTGCCCGCGGACGCCCTTCCTGCTGGTCGGGACTCAGGTGGATCTGAGAGACGACAGCAACACTCTGGAGAAACTGGCCAAGAACAAACAGCGAGCCCTGAGCTGTGAGAGCGGGGAGAAACTGGCCCGAGAGCTGAAGGCCGTCAAATACGTGGAGTGTTCAGCTCTCACACAGGTACGCACAGAGGAAAGGCCTCTGCATCTAAAACTGGACCACACATAACATGTCTTGAGAGAGAATGACTTTTTGTGAAGTATTAAGGAGGGAAAAAGGCAATTGCTGGTACGATATGCAAGTGGCTGGTAGATTTAAATCATTCATAAGTAGATGGGAACCGATAAGAAAATGCCAGGTACCGGGTACCCATGCAAAATACACAATTTTGGTTGTGGTTAACGGTTCCTAAACGCGGTAGACCCTGTATTCCACCGGGTCCGCCTGCGCCGCGGTGACCCGGTGGAATACAGGGTGAGGGCGGACTGGCAATCTGTGTGTTCTGGAGAATCACAGAACGTCCCGGCTCGGTTCGCTGACGGCCGGCACCACCCTTTTTTTTTTAAACGGCATCATGTAAGTTGCGCTGACAGGCGACAGAGGTCCACAATTGCCCCGCAGCGAGGCGCCCCCCGCCCTCCCGTAGACTGTTCACGAGCTCAGTCACTTCATAACACCAAAGATGGATCGCGGTAAATGCTCTAAAGTGAGGCTCCACTCCACAAAAAAAAAAAAAGACAAGGCACAGTGCTATGCTAGTTAATCGCTTGCCACAGGCATAGCTCAGTTACAATCAAGCACAACTATTGTCCAATACATTTGTATTGCATGTATATTTTTTATTTGTAAAAATGTCAGTTAAGAATAAAGATTTTTTTGTTATCTAAACGTTTGACCTCTTTCTTTTACAATTTTGGAATCGAAACGGGGAATCGATAAGAATCGGAATCGATACATTTCAAACGATACCCATCCCTACTCATAAGCCGAAAGACAATATGAACATCCACAACGCATTCAGTTTCTAGGTAAACAAAATGGAACCTTTGCACCCTACTGATTTGTATTCTATTGATTTGCTCTGCAGCAGGTCAGGACAAACAATATCATTTCTGACTTTTTTAAATTGATATACAAAAGGATTTCAAGCAGCAATGCCATTCAGTTGAAATCCAATGATGTTTGTAGTACAATTTCATTTTTCCAATACGTAGTAGTGATGCCCTGTAGTAATAGTTGGTATAAGACATCATTTTAGCTCAAATACCATACTGTTTGTTTCTGCCTCTTAAAATGTGAGATGGCTGCTTCACATGACGCTGCAGAAAAGCGCAAATATGTGGGTCAATTTAAAATATTGAATTTGAATAAAGAGATGCATATATGTTTATTTCATTTATGTCTACTATATTTATGTAAGATTCACAGTAAAGCAAAATGGTTTTAGGTTGGGTTGAATTGACTTTTTGGGACTGTTTTTTTTTTTTACATTAGTTTACAAATGGCCCTTAAAACATGTACTCTGGCCACCATATTTTAGGGTTGTTAGTGAATGAGGTCAGTGCTTTAAAATGATTCAAAGGTTTCTAACCCCTCAAGTCTCTTTTTACCTTTTTTTTTTTATTAGCAGACATAGCTCATGAGTTTTTCTTTCTTTTCTCAGAGGGGTCTGAAGAACGTGTTTGACGAGGCCATCCTGGCAGCTCTGGAGCCTCCAGACAACAAACCCAAGAAGCGCTGCGTCCTGCTATAGACGCCACAACAGGAGGAGGAGGTGGAGGTAGACGGAGATGAACCCAGATGGGAACAGAGGGAGGCAGTACGGAGAGGAGGGGGAGGGTGTGGGAGTGGACGAGGTCATTTGTAAACAGTGCCTTCAGCCGTAGTGACTTACCGTGGGGTGTGGTGTTGGAAGAGGCTTTCTTCTCATCATAGATTCGTGTCCATTATAATATGACTAACACATGTGGACTCCTCACTAACCAGGAAACAGATTTCCATAATAGGAGGAGAGGGTTGCACGCCTTAAAGATACAAACAGTGTCACGGTTACAGCTCCAACTGGTAACCACCAACTGAAAATGATGACGTTCATCAAAAGATATTTACCCAAGTCACACATTGTAAAGTTTAAGATGTCTTTGGTCAGTACACGCCGTTGTAGATTGCGCTGCCCCCTTTTCATTATATCATGTCTTTCTTTGGTCTAAAGCAGGTTGCATTTGCACAAAAGAGATGGTAGTAAAAAACAATGAGGCATTAATGATATTTGTTACCAGTCTGATTAAAACTAATAGAAGAGGAAAAAATGGAGCAGAAATAAACACTTTCTACAAACAAGTTATGTTTTTTATTGAAAGAGATATAAAAACCCAGTTTGTGAGCATCGTGCCCTGCAGCTGCTGTCGTATTTAGTGGTTTATTTTGAGTGGCCACGGTAACCTGACTTCATCCACAAAGAGATTCAGATTGGCTAATTAGAGTTTCTGTAGAGCTTCACTGACTTCGGCTTTGCAGTATAAAAGACGATGTACACACACACACACACACACACACACACACACCAGTTAATGATGCACACCTGCAATAATCCAACAACAGGAGCGATGATCGAACTTGCACATCCTTAAGAGAAACGTGATTTAGAAAAACAAATCAAATCTTTCAGTTGGAACATGAGTAGGTTGGCTGGTAGGTTTCATGAGACACATTTCAAGGCACAGGGTGGTCACCTGACAGAAATATGTTAGTGTTCAGCAAACATTGCCTTTTCTCTCCTGCCGTCTCACTGTGGACATCCTCACACTCCACTGTCACAGGGGAGTCATTATGTTTGGCTGTCACTCTTTAATACTGCATACCACCTGATATAAAGTATTTAAGGTGTTACATATAGACCCCATCCCAAATAAACCAAAACTACATCCATTTTAGAGACAATAGCATGTTTAATGCAAAAGAAACAGAGAAGAGTGTCGGCCTCTGTCTGTTGTGACATGTCGATGATGTAGATGAGTGAAACCCCAGATATAAGTCCATGAAACATTTTCCAAACAGCCATCTCAATTAGAGTCCTATCAAGACATCATCTAATAAAAATGTTGCACAACAAAAAAAAAAGAGGGACCTTTAAATTTAACTGCGGCTACCAAATGTCCAAGAATTGCACCTAAAATTTATTCAATTGTGTGTTAAGTGTAGTATATTACGTAAAACTTTTGAGTTACGTAATGTCCCTTTAAACTAGTTTTAGTAAATTTTCCGGTTTTACTACA